ACTCCTCAAATTTTTATTGTGAGAAGTTCTTGTAATTCAGGTCACTGCCTTAAAAAATCATTTTATCTTAATAAAAATTTGGAGTTTGTGTTAAAAAATTAATAAATAAACTTTTATTGTAAAATAATATATTTATTATATATTTTATTAACCTTGATAAGAAAATTAACTTATGTCCAACATTTTTTTAATCAAACAACTATATGTCATCGTTAACCGTACAGTAGATAATAATTGTTTTTTTAAACAGTATATAATTTAAAAGAGAAGGTATTTTTTTTAAGGTATTAATGGAGTGTGAAATCCTATCCAATTAATATAATTTAATTTAAACGCTTTAAGATTTGAAAATAAACCATTTAAAGGTTTGATTTGATTAATAACTTAAATAATTTAATAATTATCTTTTTTACTGAAAATAAAATATCTTAAATTTAAATCATATAATAGGCAAATAGAGTAAAATAAAAAATAAAAAATAATTATTTTTGATTATGCAACTAAAAAAAAACCGATTCGTACAGTAGATAATTATTTGGTCAGTAAGAGATTAGGGAGTTCATATAAAAAGGGATTTGCAAGTGATAAATTATTAAATTTTGTCCAGTAGAAGAATAAAAACTAAAGAGTATGTGGTTAAATTTTCTAGATAAAAAGCATATAATTCACCCACAAGACACTAAGGTTGTCGGTGTTCTTCTTCTGGACCAGAACCAGAGATGTGACTGCAGACACAGGTTCACTGTAGACCCAGTTGCTTGTTTCATTGCTTTTCAACTGCTTTTGAATCGAACTTCTTTCTAATGGCTTCCCAGAAGGCAGGTATGGCAACGTCATCAGGGACTTCTTTGAATGATGGGAGGTAGTTCACATCCACAATGACATGATCACCAGAGCCTTCCTGAATCTGAAAGTACAGGGGAGAAAACCAAGGGATAAGGTGTTTGTTTTCTTTAAATTCGAGGACCATATGCCCCCATGTTTATGATATGAGTCCAATGGCACATGAGACTGCATGAGCTACTTACAACAACATCAAACCCAAAGATGGTCAGATTAAGTGTTTTTGAAAGCCAGTTTGCAGCGTCTCGGACAAGTCCAAGATCAATATTCTGTTCTTGATCTCCAGGATTCTGTTTTCCAGTATCAGTAGGTAGAGATTTTAAGCTGTTGAAGGAAATCATTTGGAGGAATTTCATTAAATGATCTAATTTTAGAAAGCAAAAGCACATAATAAGAACTAAAAAGGGACTACCTGTCAAATAGTATGGGTTTCAGCCCATTTCTTTCAGATAATTTCATCAAAACATCAGCATTTGGTGTAGACTTCTTAACTGCATGGAATACATTTTCACCCAGGACATAGAACTTGAAGAGAGTGGATGAATGATCGACATATTCCTGCAGTTCCACAAAATTCCAGTTTTAGATCCATAATAGGAAACCAACAAACTGCAGAATCAAGATCATGCTTCAGAAAAAGGTTATAAAAAATTTGCTGGCTCCTCCAACAAATAATGGTTCTATCAGTTCACAATCCAGGATTCGTGCTATTTACACGTTAGTTCTGGAGCTAACATTATCAGGTTCCTCGGCATCCATCTCATATAGGAGGAAACAACGTTTCTTTCCTAGTTGAGTTGAATCCATTTAACAGACACCAACAGAGTACCTGCTGTTGGTTTCCATGTCTAGTTTAATTGACCAATAAACAAAGGAACATGAGAAGGATAAACAAGGAGTTCTGAGACTTCATTCCAGCCAAGCAAATGTTCTAAATCCCCAGCCACAGATGCATGAGATAATCCCACATAGACTAAAGAAATTGAGAACAATAAAGGGTTAAGAATGCTTATGGTACATGCTCTAAATTAAAGAATGAGAATACAGAATCTAATTCACATCATCAGAAAACATGGAGTTACTGGAACAACAACAAGAATCAGTACGTGCCCACCTGAATAACAGCAGGAGTTGGAACATTCAAATCATTGAAGTCTTCGTCTCTAAATACTATTGCCTGTTACGTCAAAGATTAAGCCTTTCTTAGCATAAAGATGGGAAAAGAAAGAGAAATGAGTAGCTCTAATGAATATAGCTTGTTTATACTAAACTACAATGTCAAACTTCAAATAAAAGATTCATGGACTTTATATAAACTCAGGAGAAAGCCCAAATTATCATAAAAAAATTATCGACAATGCAAGCTGAACTTTTGGGAGTAGAGCAACAAGGTTATGTGTAAATATCTTTTTTCTCCTGTGTAGCTACTAGCAATCTAGTGGTATATATCAGTATCTTTGGTGGGAGCCACGGATGGCCCATGATATATTTTCCAAGCAGGTCATGTTAATTGTATTGAGCAAAGAACACATGAACTTCTGCCCCATCAGGATCTGACATCCAGAGAAAAGAATACTACTAAGGCCAAAATGGAGGAACATTTATGATGATTTGGGGGAATTAATAAGGAAACAGAGGGATATAGATAAAAATCAAATTCAGTAAATCAATGAGTTTTCTTTGTAACAATGTAAATCTTCAAGTTTGTAGCAGTAGAATGATAATGAAATAAAAAATTTACCATACTGTGAGCATCAGGTACACCACAGGCAACTTGAGGTTTCACAATACTTGGAAGAGACAATTTAGCTTCAAGCAGTCTTTTTGCCAAATCCGGCTCATCAAAATAGCTAACCTGCATATTTGAGCTCAAGATGTAGGTAAAACTAAGGAGAAAGCATATACTTCAGCATGTCCATTTAACAAAAAGTTAGACCATAAGTTTTTCCTAGGGGCATCACCATAAGTTTTTAATTGTAATAAGAAAAGACAAAAATCCTTGCTAAGAAATTGCTGCTTGTCTTCTTCTTATTGCAAGCATTTGTAAAAACTGAATAATCATCATCTTATCTTGTCCCCAAAGCCTGATTACAGGATACAAAAACTCCATGTCTAGAACTCATGACCAGCTATTTCAACTAGCAAAAATAACCAACTCTTATCCAGCAAAAGCCAACAACCAACTACTTTCAAATAGCAAATATTATAACTCCTTGGTTCTTGGGCAGGTAGTTATATCTGAAAATTGACAAACTATGAGAAATTGCATAAGGCAATGTCAATTTGCTTCCATTGCTTTATAAAACCAGTATAAAATAAATACCATTTGGGCATAAGACCTTGAGAAAGTGGGGGCCCCTAATTGCACTGCGCCCTTCTATCTTGAGACCTTCTAGTCCAAGTAGAATTTGTTGGATTGTTAGCCGATCCAGTACAGGGTAAATGTTCTTAAGTGGGTCAACCACAGAGCAATGAGAGTGACATTCAATGTGCCTATCGAACAAGCAAGATTTATCAGAAAGGATATCCATGGCATAAGAGATATATGCCACCTATGACACAGAGAAGGATGTTTCCTCTCTTCAAAAGAACATAAATCCACTGAGCAGGATTCCAATAATTTAAGTTTTCCTATCTTCCAAATCTATTATAGGATGTCATATGAAATACAAATATATATTTTGAAAATTACCTTTGCAATTCTTGCATGCCTGGGGTGTAAGTAATTTTGTAGGAGGATTCTGCTTGGCAGCTTAAATCAATTGATACAATTTCATCAGTTGCTTTATGGAGAACAACATCAACATCTTCTAATTGTAATGGAAGACAAAGGTCAAAAGTCAGGGGCAGAAACATCAATCCATTTGGAGTTGGACACATTGGTAATGCACCCCTCTATCATGTAAAAAGAGCATCAGATGGTACATGTAAGCCATAAGAACTTTGCTATAATAGAAATCAAACCATTATGACACCAATTAAAATCAATAAACCCAGTTACTCATCAATTAGAGCAGGTCTAGAGCCAGAACCTCACTCAGCTAAATGATAAATTGACCATGAGTTAATATTTTCTTACATATGACTACATCTTTTTCTTCAAATACAGAACATGTGCAATTTTTAAACAAAAAGAGCTTACCTTTGCAAAATCTTCTTCACGAGAAGGCTTCATAATGTAACCAACCATCACAACATCACTCTCTATTGCCTGCTTAAAAATGTGGAAGAAATTGTGAAATGTTAATATCTTCTAAGAAATCTAGGGTATGTATCAAGATGATTTACACATTATTCCTTACATTTTCTATCATTCAAGTTCAGTACTGTTTTGAACACATATTCATGTAATTTACCGTTTTGAGGTGTGAAGTATGTATGGATTTGGAACTAGACCTTGAACTTCATTTTCTTCACAAATATATGAAAATAAGGAGTGTTACAGGAAAAGAAAAGAATCATCTGCAGTGACCTTTTTATTTAAACGACAAATAGTGAGAGGTAGCTCTTCTAGTTTGTCAATATCAAGCCTGCTTGAATTTGGACATGCATTGGTTACTTCAACATCTGAGGAGAAAGGAAAAAATCCAATTTCATTTCTGCATTAGATTTATGTAACAATAAGTTCAAAGCCCAAGATAGCAGGCATGAAACTAAATGAAGAATTTAAAAAAGGTTCAACAGTGGTTACCCTTAATTGTCAGCCACCTACAACTTATTTTATGAAGAGCATCCAGTTTAGGAGCAAGATACAAAATACTCCCTCTGATATCACCCCATGCACAAGTAATCTCACCTACAGCTGCATCCGTGGAACATCCACTCAAGAGAAGACAATCACATGAGTATGGCTCGGCTACACTTTTCAGAAGATTAACCTAAGACAAGTGAGTAAAATAGGTATACTTTGGGTCAGATGATTTCTGTTTAAACTTAAGAAAGTAATATCATGTCATAAAGTATGTACTGCATGGAACAAAAGCTACCTTATCAGATGAAAGGCCTGATCCATAGGAAACTCCCTGCAATGACAAGGGCAATAGTAAGTAGAGATCATTTTTAGAAATTAAACCATATAGCAGATACATTAGCTACATCCCTATCGTTCTTCTCAGCAAGGAAACATTGGCAGCATGGCTTTGAACACAAAGAATGCAGTTCAACTTTTAGAGACATCAATGAAAAGGGTTCAATATTTTTGAATTCTATTTTCATTTCATACATTAACAGGCTTTTGGTTCATAATGGAGCTCAAAGTCACAACAGCCATGGAGAGTCAAAGAAGTCTACAAGGCAAACAACACCCCCCACATCAAAATCAAATCTTTAAGGGAACCCCACAGCCAATTTGATAAAATATCGCATATTGATTGAAGATACAGGGAGAAAAGAGTACCGTACGGATCTTGGAATAGCGTAGTCTGCGGAGCAGAGACTTTGCGGCCGGCGTAAACGACGCGACGTTTCCTGGGTCGAGTACAAGCGAGTGATCCAATATCACTCCCCTCACCGCTGGACACATTTCCTCTCCTTCAGAGGTGTTTAGTACAGTGGCTGAAGAACGAGGAAGCAGAAGAAAAAGAAAGAAGAGAGGAAAATTTGGAAGCATCAGATTCTTGAAACACACACCGGCAGGGCGAAAAGACCATTTCATCTCACACGTGTCGAAATCTTGGCGTTCGTGTCGTGAGCAGGGAATCTTTAGAAAAGCTGTAAATGTCATTTTAGTCCTC